ACACACACACACACACACACACACACACACACACACACACACACACACACACACACACACACACACACACACACACACACACACACACACACACAAACTCTTGCGCCCTACGGACGAACCGGCAAGAAGAAAGGCTCGTCGGTTCGGTGCAAAAGATGCTGCATCAAGATCAAACAGGAGTGCCCCTCGGGCTCTCAAGACAAGTCCACAAGATTGACAGTCGGCTCATGGGTACACGAGTCAACGCAGGTGAGCTCGTCATTCTGTTCACGAGCTCGGTGCCTCCCATTTTTCTGTCCATTATGTTTTGCGTCGGGCTCGTTGCCGTCCTCTTTGCCGGAGCGCAGGACAACATCGTGTACAAGCTTGCAGGCCTCATCAACCCTAGCTTTGGCCTAGAACCGTGGGAGCTTTTTGTGGAGGAGCCTGTAGGGCTGACAAATGGCTTCATTGCTGATCTCAGTCAATTTGGTGATGGGATTGATGATGGTGTTGCAGAGGAGTCAGCTGGTTGGCAACTGGGACAGCAGCCCATCAGAGTGCTTCTGGGGCATCCAAACTAGAAGTGAGGCAGCCCTGACTTGAACAAGCTGGCTGCTGCACACCAATCATGCCATTCTGCCACAGCCAGCCAGATCAAAGCTGTGATGATTGCACACAGAAACTGTTGCAGCCAAGCAAGCTGAAGCTGCTGATGGCCTGCTCCTCTCTCAGTCTGCACAGGCACTCATACCTCCTCAAGAAAGCATCAAGACCAAGCATGCTTGCATTGCTGCAGCAGCAGACTGCTTTGCTCTCTCTGTCTGTTGGCGGCTCAGCCATCTTGACGTCAAGGCAAGCCGGGCCGGCCGTGCTCAGACAGGCTGCAAGCTAGCTTGCCTCGGGTCTTGGATTCTGGGATTTCTTTTTGGTTCGCTTCCGAGGCCCAGCTCGCAGAGGCCCCGCTGGATCGCGTCATTTTGCCAACTGGTGTCGAGCGGCGTGGCCTGGCCAGCGTGGACCGACGGGCCGACCAGCCGACCGACCGAAGCCGGCTGGCTGGCTGCGTTGCTGCGGCGCGACTTGTCTTGGCCTGGCTGCCTGCCTGACTGGATGGCATGGCGTGCCTGATTTTTCGCCATCTCTGTGGCTGGTGTGGCTGGCCTGGCTGGCTCGTCTGTGTGCTGTGCCGCGCCGCGCCGCACCGCACCTTCCGCAGCCGAGCCTTGCGACAGACGACGCAATCGCCTCGCCTCGCCCGTTTGGCTGTCCGTCCTTCCCCTGCCTTCCTTCCACTACGACCAACCGACCGCCTTTGATCCTCGTTCCTGCCATCGTTCCATCCTCCGCGCCACCGGCATCGCCACCGCAGCACGTACTCCGCTTCCCTTGCCTGCCATCGACGCTGCAACGGCACCGGCCCCCACGCCTCGCCGTCACTCCGCATCCAGCTGCACCGGCTGCTGCCCTCTGGCAAGCTCGACCACGACCCTTCTCAACGTCGCCGTATGCGGGGACGAGATGGCGCCAGGATGGTAGATCCCCCCGTGCTCGACTCGGAGATGGCCCGGCCGGCAGCGACAGCTGGCCCCGCTGCCTCGACGCGCTCGACCGGCGCAGAGGCCTCCGCAGCACAGGTCCCCCTGCACCCCTCGTCTCCTCCCTCGCCCGCCACCACTTTTCCTACCACCACCATCGACGACGACGACGACGACGCCACCGCCACAGCATCGACGTCTCGCACCCCTCCATCCACCATCGCCGGCGGCGAAGCAGCCGCCTCGTCGTCTTCCTCGCTGCATCCGACCGACCACCGTCACCGCCACCGTCACACCGGCAGCGGCAACAACGACCAAGGCATCGTGAGCGTCACGGCACCGAGCAACGACGACGCCGCCATCGCCTCAGCCTACTATCCGTCGACGGCCATGGCCTCGCTCAGCGTCGCCACCCCGCCAGCCACCTGGACCCCGGACCCGATGCTTGCACACACTTCTCAGCGAGCGCACGCGGACGTCGACCTGGCCCCTCCGGCGGCCGCCGACGGTACGTCATCGCCGCCACCGCCGCCGCCGCTCTCCTCGGCGTATGTGCAGCCGCCCGCGTCCAACGTCACCGCCACCGAGACCTCGGGCGACGGCTGGTCCATGGTGCCCAGGACGGATGCCAGCTACCAAGGCAGGGATCCGGCCGAGCCAACCAACCGCCGATGCGTCCCCACCGGCAGCGGCGCCGACCCGGCGTTCCCGGACGTCGCCTTTGGCGAGCGTGCATCGCCGGCCGTCATCTCGTTCCAGCGTGCCACGGGCGCTCGCGGCCACGGTCGCGGTCGGGGCGGCAGCCGTGCCCTCACGCCGGCCGGCCTGTCGCCCGCTCGCGTCGACGGCAGCCCGAACCCGTCTGGCCTGCACCGAGGCGGCCTGCGTGGCCTCGACGAGAGCCTGGACCTCGCCATGAGCAAGGTCGATGCCGCCTCGTCGTCGCCGGCCAGCCCTGCCGACGCCAAACCGGGTGCAGCTATCCCCGCCGCCGCCGCCCACAACTCGAGCACGCCCCTCGTCCCGCCCGCCACACGCAAGCTGTGCGTCCGGCACCAGAGGATGGCCGACGAGGGCACCACTGCGCGGCTGCAAAAGGTGAGCATTCCGAGCGGTCCCTCGATTCTCCCTAGTCTACCGATCCTCCCCCTCCCCCTCCTCCTCCTGCCCCAGACCACGTCCCGTCCTCCCCTGACTCGCCTCGATGTTGATGTTCGCGCTTCGCCGCGCCATCGACCGAGGCGGCACGCTGCGCCGACGCTGCGCATTCTCCTCGGGAAACTGGCCAGGAGAACAGCGTCGGCAGCCTGGAGACCCGCGACGGGCGCTCTCATGCCTGCCGCGGGGACCCAGGTGTCCTGTGAGGCAGCGATGCAAGACCGATCCCCACTCAGTTTGAGGCCTCGACCTTCCTTATAGGTCGTGCGCCATAGAAGAAGTGGTACATCCCCTTTCGAGCATCCCTTTGCAGCGACCGGCAAAGACTCTCGCAGACGCGGACTCGCGCGCTGACCGCCTCTGCCCCTTCTTTTGCCGCCTTGCTGCGACCAAAGTCGATCGAGAGCCTGCCGCTCGCCGACCAGACGGCCGTCAACACGGTGTGGTCGCTCTTTTCCTCGTCGTCGCACTCGAGGCGCGCGCTGATCCTGCAGGGCATCCTGACCATGTGCTGCTTTAGCCAGCTGTCGCTGCTGTCGTCGGAGCTGGCGCTGGCGATCCGCATCGACCCGTTCTCGCTCTTCCCGCGCGAGGTGTCGCTCAAGGTGCTCGGCCACCTCGACGCCATCAGCCTCGGACGCGCCGCCCAGGTCAGCCGGTCGTGGAAGCAGCTGGCCGACGACGACCTGCTCTGGCGCAACATGTGCGAGCAGCACATCGAGCGCAAGTGCGAAAAGTGCGGCTGGGGCCTGCCGCTGTTGAGCGAGCGCAGGCGCCGCGTGCCCGGACCCGGCATGCAGGCGGGCACCCCCGAGAGCCGCCAGCTCACCATCGATCCGCCCACTGCTTCCGCAGCTGCCAGCCCGACTAGCAACGGCAGCGGCCCCGGCCACGGACTCGCCAGCGGAGCGCTCAAGCGGACCATTACGGCAGCCGCCAACGCGGCCGCGCTCGAAAAGCAGTCGAGGTCGCGCGCCGGCAGCCCGTCTGCCATCAATCGCGGGCTCGTCATGGCCAGCGGCGGAGCGGGATCGTCGTCGATGTCTGGTGGCTCCGATGCCGAGATGCAGGACGCCGAAGCCGCCAGCAGCGATGGATGCGACGCGGCCGAGCGCGGCGGCCCGCCCAGCAAGAGGCAGCGCAGCTGCACCGATGGGACGGCCAACGCCGCCAACGCCGCCGCCACGACGGATGTCCAGCGAGCCTCGGCTGTCGGTGTCGGTGCTGGTGCCGTCGCCAGTGCACAGGCTCCGCCCGCCGCCGCCGCCGCCTACAAGACGCGACCTTGGAAGTCGGTCTACTGCGAACGGCTGGCCATCGAGCGCAACTGGCGGCGCGGACGCTACGTGTCGCGCACCCTGACCGGACACACCGACGGCATCATGTGCCTGCAGTTCAGCGAGCATCTCGCCCACCCGGCCTTCCCCGTCGTCATCACGGGCAGCTACGACCGCACCGCGCGCATCTGGAACCTCGAGACGGGCGAGCAGCTGCGCAAGCTCGAGGGCCACACGCGCGGCGTGCGCTGCCTCCAGTTTGACGAGGCCAAGCTCATCACCGGCTCCATGGACCGCACGCTCAAGATCTGGAACTGGCGCACGGGCGCCCTGATGCGCACCCTCGAGGGCCACACCGAGGGCATCGTCTGCCTCAACTTCAACGAGGACACCCTGGCCAGCGGCAGCGCCGACAGCAACGTCAAGATCTGGAACTTCCGCACGGGCGAGTGCTACACGCTTCGCGGCCACCACGACTGGGTCAACGCCGTCACGCTGTGGACCGGACCCGCGGCCAAGAGGCGCCTCGAGCGGCGACGCGAGGCCGCCGGCGCCAGCAAGCCGGGCGGCCGCTCGGCCCGAGCCGGCGGCGGCGACGACGACGACCCCGAGGCGGCGGGCACGTTCCTCTTCTCGGCCTCCGACGACGGCACCATCCGGCTGTGGGATCTCGGCCTGCGCGAGTGCCTGCTGACGTTTGACGGCCACGTCGGCCAGGTCCAGAGCCTCAAGCTGGTGATGATGGACGAGTCGGCGGTGCGCAAGCTGATGGGCGGCGCCGCGGGCGGACCGGGCGCCGAGCGCGATCACCGCCGTGGCGGTGGC